GCCTGCAAAGTAGATGCTTCCAATTTTCTGGTCCAAGTCTTATTGTTTTTTATTATTTTAAAAGTAATTGTATTGTCAGAATAAATGGAATTAAGTTAATTGCTCCCTCTTAAATAGAGTGCTAGATGTTGTCCTAGTGACATGCAGGCAGGGTGCTTCCTATCTCTTGGGTTTCACATCTGTAGGTGTAGATTGTATCTGCCGTCCAGACTCCTGCACCTTCAATCTTTCTCCCAGATAATGCAGTGTTGTTCACCGGCACAATGTGACCACGCACCGGCACAATGTGACCGCGCACCGGCACAATGTGACCGCGCACCGGCACAATGTGACCGCGCTCCGGCACAATGTGACCGCGCACCGGCACAATGTGACCGCGCACCGGCACAATGTGACCACGCACGATGAACTCTCTATTGTTATCTCTTCTTTCAGCCTTCACTTCTCTCACTTCATGTCTTTCTGTCTTTCCTCCGACTCCCCCTCTCAGTCTTTCTCGATGCCTCACTGTTGAGCAGATGATTCGTAATGATTTATTGAGGACGTCGCGATGTCCTTTTCTTCAGAGGAGACATCGCCGCTGTTCCAGAAAACATTTATCTGTATTTTTAGATATTGGGATTTTGGTGTTAGTGTGGCCGTCTGTTGACCCGTCAGAAATACTCAAATACTCCACTTAGATAACTTATATTCAGAGGTGGGAGAAGTACTCTGCTCTTGTACTTGAGTAAAAGTAGAAGTACTCAGATCTTGTACTTGAGTAAAAGTAGAAGTACTCAGATCTTGTACTTGAGTAAAAGTAGAAGTATTCAGATCTTGTACTTGAGTAAAAGTAGAAGTACTCAGATCTTGTACTTGAGTAAAAGTAGAAGTACTCAGATCTTGTACTTGAGTAAAAGTAGAAGTATTCAGATCTTGTACTTGAGTAAAAGTAGAAGTACTCAGATCTTGTACTTGAGTAAAAGTAGAAGTACTCAGATCTTGTACTTGAGTAAAAGTAGAAGTACTCAGATCTTGTAGTGAAAGTAGAAGTACTCAGATGTTGTACTTGAGTAAAAGTAGAAGTACTCAGATGTTGTACTTGAGTAAAAGTAGAAGTACTCAGATCTTGTACTTGAGTAAAAGTAGAAGTACTCAGATCTTGTACTTGAGTAAAAGTAGAAGTATTCAGATCTTGTACTTGAGCAAAAGTAGAAGTACTCAGATGTTGTACTTGAGTAAAAGTAGAAGTATTCAGATCTTGTACTTGAGTAAAAGTAGAAGTATTCAGATCTTGTAGTGAAAGTAGAAGTACTCAGATGTTGTACTTGAGTAAAAGTAGAAGTATTCAGATCTTGTACTTGAGTAAAAGTAGAAGTACTCAGATGTTGTACTTGAGTAAAAGTAGAAGTATTCAGATCTTGTAGTGAAAGTAGAAGTACTCAGATGTTGTACTTGAGTAAAAGTAGAAGTACTCAGATGTTGTACTTGAGTAAAAGTAGAAGTACTCAGATCTTGTACTTGAGTAAAAGTAGAAGTACTCAGATCTTGTACTTGAGTAAAAGTAGAAGTACTCAGATCTTGTACTTGAGTAAAAGTAGAAGTACTCAGATCGTGTACTTGAGTAAAAGTAGAAGTACCAGAGTGTAGGAATACTCTGTTACAGTAAAAGTCCTGCATTCAAAATGTTCCTCAAGTAAAAGTAGAAAAGTATTCTCATCAAAATATAGTGAAAGTAGCGACAGTAAAAGTAGTCATTGTGCAGATTGGTCCATTTCAGAATAATATCTATGATATGTTTTATAATGATTGATCATGAAAGTGTTCTCAAAGCTGGTAAAGGTGCAGCTAGTTTGAATGACTTTGTATACTGCAGGGTAGCTTGTGGATTTACTCCAGGTGGAACTAAAGTCTGATTTAACACTTGATTATATTTCACATCATTCATCCACATCTGTGAAGTAACTAAAGGTAGAGTAAGTAAGGTCAGTATTTGAGTAAATCTAATTAGTTAATTTACACCTCTGCTTATATTCCTACAGTTAAGTATTTGTATCACTTTCCTAATTGGTCTCACCTGTCTATATTAATCCGACCATTATTGATTTATTGCAGATTGTTATGTATTGTAAATACATTGACCAAAATAAAAATAAATTGTCAAATAAATAATGCCCAGATGCTCTGCGGGATTACAATCTGTTCTTCAAAGATCTATCGAGAAACCGTCTACACATCTCCGCCTCTCTCTATCTTCTCTCCATCTTTCTTTGTCACCAGTCTTGATTCACATTATCTCGTGTCTCATTTACTTTCTCCACACGCTCCCTCTATCATCTCATCTCACACACACACACACACACACTTCATCGTGTTTACTTTGCGCCGCTCTCACACTCCAATTACGGTTTATCGCCATCACTTATCACTACACGACTCATCTGTATCTTTCCACTTCTTTCTTCCTCACTCTCTTTCTCACACACACACATACACACACACACATACACACACACACACACACACACACACACACACACACACATACACATACACATATACATATACACACACACATACACACACACATACACACATACACACACACACACGCATACACACACACACATACACACACACACACACACACATTTCAGCTCAGCTCCAGTATGTACTTTCTTCACAATTCTATCTCTACAGATCTCCCTTCTGTCCTTGTCTTTCTCCATTCCCTGCCTCCTCAGATAACATCCCATGAGTCACCGATGACTCCGCATGCTTTGACCCTTCTTTCTGCTTTTTTAAAGTGGAGTGTGTGTACCTGGGTATACAAAAAGCCCACTCCTCTAACAGGTCAGCCTCGTCTCCAACGGCTAGTTTTTAATCAGAATGAATCGGAGTTCTTCTGCTCGTGGGAGGCTCTTTCACTGCTGCAGCTTTAAGGATAAATGAATACTTGAAATGGTCGATGAGCAACAACAAGGAAAGATATTTATTGATTTTTTTATTCCGACAAGCCAAGATCACAGCGAGGAACCAATGGAACACCAAACAACTTATCTTGTAACATAAGAAAGACAGGAAGTTACCAAAGATTTAACCACAAACAATTGAGTCTTTGAGAGAAATCGTCACAATCTCCTGTGAAAATGAATGAGTGAATTTATGTCAAAAAAGGAAGAAAGTTAACCATTAGGGAACCAAAACAGGAAGAAGAAGATATCACGTTTGTTTTCCCAAGTATTCCCAGTTACCAAAGAGTGTCAATTGAGTTATTTGAGGTGACTTTCCCTCGTAGTGGAAGAGAATAGAATAGAAAGCCTTTGTTGTCATTACAAAAAATATACCATATTTTAGCATTTATAGCATGAAGCTACAAAAAGCTGTAAAGTGCATTAAAACGTTTTTTAAGTGCTAATGAGTTGGTTAATTAAATGTATGTTGCACTTGAGACTTTGGTGTAACAGCCTGGTGGCTCAGGGGTAAAAACTGTTTTTCAGTCTGTTTGTCTGTGTTTTAAAACTCCTGTATCTCCTACCAGAAGGCAGGAGAGAGAACAGTGTGTAGCCTGGGTGAGAGAAGTCTTTTTTAATAGTCTTTGCTCTGCTGAGACACCGGGAGCTGGAGATGTCTTCCATGGCAAACGTTGGAACCACCGTAAAGAAAGAACTGTTGAAACTAAATCCACTGTGCTTGTCTCTGATGCTGAAAGCTCTGAGTAAAACGGAGTAACACTAATATACAATCCAATACACGTGTGTCCGTGTCCAGCAAGAGTAGACCAGGAACCTGAGAACTGAACGTTTCTCTAAAAAAGTAATTTCACAAACAAAGAAAGCAATCATTTCCATTCACTCATACACCATCATTTCATACAAATCACCATCTATCAGGAGGCAGACCATGTCCCTGTAGTTGGTTATCCTTGGCATGCCTGGGGTTTAAATGTTTTTTGGGAGGTTTTTGTACTGTCAAAAAATGTTATTTTACTTTTTTCCCTGAAAGCCAAAAGCTTTTCCCCAAAATTTATTTGCACTTTAATTGGATGATATTGTCTATGCACTATCTGTCCTAAGGATAAAACGCAATGAAGCCCAGGAGCTTAAACTGCATAAAACACCATGTATACTCTCACATTTGTTTCCTTAGTTTAGCGATGTGAAAGTGCAGATGTAATGGTGTGTTTGTGAGACACACAACATGTTTAGACTGCAGTTAAGCGTGTCACCTCAGAGCTCCTGTGGCAGGTAAATGACAGTAAATTGCAGCCTTTTGAAAATTATCCCGACCGGTAAAATGGTAAAAGTGGAATAGCGCGACCGCTGAGGCCGCTACACAAAAAGTGTCTGAATGATTTTTCTCCTGATGTCTGCCTTAATGATTGGCCTCCATCACACCAAACATCACGTTGTTACGAAATGTTTTGTGGTTATTATTTTTGGCCGCTTCCAAACCTCTCTGCTTGTTGGGTTTGATGGATGGATGGATGGATGGATGGATGGATAGATAGATAGATTGATGGATGGATAGATAGATTGGTGGATAGGTAGGTAGATAGATATACATATAGATAGGTAGGTAGATAGGTAGGTTGATAGATGGATAGATGGATGGTAGATAGATGGTTGGATAGATAGATTGGTGGATAGGTAGGTAGATAGATATACATATAGATAGGTAGGTAGATAGGTAGGTTGATAGATGGATAGATGGATGGTAGATAGATGGTTGGATAGATAGCTAGATAGATAGATGGATGGGTAGATAGATAGAAAGATGGTTGGATGGGTAGATAGATAGATTGGTTGGTAGGTAGGTAGGTAGGTTGATAGATGGATGGGTAGATAGGTGGATGGAGACTATTTAAGTAGTAAAAATGTAAATATAATAATATATATCCTGGGAGGTAGTGTCAGTAGGTTGTAATATTACTAACCCTCTGGTCCAGAAGACTCGTTACACACTGACTTTGTTTGATGTGTGTGTCTTCATTTTGTCTTGTCCTTGTGTGTGTTTGCTAGGAAGAGTGGAGAACAAGAGGAACACCCAGGATCAAAGCAACGCCAAAGCTCACCGCACACAAAGAGGAAGGCGAGAGAACACACAGGTGTCAAACGCATGCATAAACATGGGAATGTGCTCTGATACTCCACGCATTAACATAAATAATTCATAGTTAGCTCGTCAATGTAGCACAACGTACTAACGGAGAATACTGACTCATCATGGTGTCGCTCTCTAATAACAGGAAGTCATTGAGCCTTCTGTCTGTGGCTTTTATACTAAGATAATTCATCTGGTAGCGATAAATGCTTCTATAATATGGGACGGTCATTTTCCGTATTGATTTTGATTCGTGTAAAACAGATCTCGATCAAAAATGTATTCTACTGTGTGCAAATAAAGGCACACATAGCCTGAAAGCTATAGGGGGGTTACGATAAGAGTGTTTTGATATTTGAAAGAGTTATATTACCCGATTACCATAATATAATCACACAAAGGCAAACGGCAGAGCTTTATTCACCCCCTTAGGGAAATTCAGGACTGTATGGCTCAGTTTCACAAATAAACACTTCATTTTAAGGTACACATATTCGCCATCAACTAGTTGTTAATTAACATGCATATTAGCAGTATAATGGCTCTTTATTAGTCATTATAAAACACTTATTAATGCCTTATTCTACATGACCATATTCTACAAGTAATAGGCCATTAGTTGAGAGTTTTTCCTCAATAACCCTCTAATTAGTGCTGATTTATTGTAAGTAAGGACGTTGTTGTACCTGAGTTTTGGTCTTAATATGCTCAATATGGGCCTAATAATCATTCTCTCATCATAAAACCAAACATATATGGTCTATTCTTATATAACAAGACATGAAACTACAAGTGTTAATTGTGTGAAAATAACACAAAATGTGGTGTTTCTAACTCAGAACATGTTCCCTATTTTAATTCAATTCAATTCAAAACCTTTATTTATCCAGGTGAAATCCCATTGAGATCAATGATCTCTTTTTCAAGGGCAACCTGCAGCAGTAAGTTCCACATGAAGACATAAAAACATAAACAACAAAAGGACATCATACAGCGAAGATTACAGGGATTACAATTTACATATCTATCCACATGAACAGGTACCAACACCATCTGATTGTGTAGCATCCAACCGAGCTTTAAAAACATGTAGTGGTACCAGATTGGTAATTTTCCATTCTTTTTGCAGACTGTTCCAAGGTAGTGGAGCTGCACATCTAAAAGCTTTCTTCCCTAAGACAGTCCTAGCACTTGGCACATTTAATAAAACCACAGCATTCGATCTCAGGCAATAACTACTTTCAATTCGCCGAGAGATCAGGGAGCAGATATAAGACGGTAGTTTATCCAACATGGCTTTGTAAATGAACATGTACCAGTGACTGAGCCTCCGTACAGTAAGTGATGGCAAAACCGCCTTGGTACACAGTGTACAGTGAAGTCTTCATAACCGATAAGCTAGTAGTTTGACTCTAATATGTTAATGAACAACTAGTTCATGGTGAATATGTGTACCTTAATATAAAGGGTTACCAAAGTTTTATGTCTTTCTGTATAATTAGTTTAAGAATAACAAGTTTACTTTATACCTAAACATGCTAGCTTAATGCTAGTTCAAAATGAATGCAGCTTTGGTTGTGCTTTCACCGAAGAATAGTCGACTTCAACAACCTTTTATCTAGACGTTGATAGTGATCGACAGAATTCCTGCACACAGCGTCAAAGTTGTGTCAAGCATTTTGGAGCGATGGTTCAAAACGACTCAGTATGTCTTGTTCTTTAAAATTGCCAAATTTCTACAAAAGTGCAGGATTTTAAAGACGAACACCTGAGGTGAATTTCCAAAAGCAGATATATATTTACCTCTGACAGTTTGTCGTTCATGTGAGATTAATTTGATGTCTCTAAAACTAATAGTTGTTTAATTTCTGGATAAATCGCAAGAAAAAGCCCTGTAGAGACGAGCTAATGATTTCTGGGGTTTAATTGCGAGAAAACCTTCCAATATAATCTCTTTATACGGTCACAGATATTACAGCACCTCCAATCATTCACACATCGACTCCAAACCTGTTTTATGGACAGTATGCCTCCTATATTTAGAGTTTATTAATGAGACTAATTTGCTCACTGCAGCTGGGTCATTATGTCTTTGCCGTTCTTGTTCACATGTTAACTTAATACCACTCAATACAATATATAAGACATACATTCATATATTATATCGTAATTATATAATAGTTTATAGCCGCTAATTATTTCGGATGTTTAATTGCAAGAAAAACAGTCATCTACAATCTCCTTATACAGTCACAGATAATACATAACCTAACATGTTTCCTCACCTGTTCTTAGAAATCCATACACAGATGTTCAGGTGTATATCAGTATGTAGTGTCTCTACTTTAAAGAGTCCTCTCCTGCTGATGTTCAGGTGTATATCAGTATGTAGTGTCTCTACTTTAAAGAGTCCTCTCCTGCTGATGTTCAGGTGTATATCAGTATGTAGTGTCTCTACTTTAAAGAGTCCTCTCCTGCTGATGTTCAGGTGTATATCAGTATGTAGTGTCTCTACTTTAAAGAGTCCTCTCCTGCTGATGTTCAGGTGTATATCAGTATGTAGTGTCTCTACTTTAAAGAGTCCTCTCCTGCTGATGTTCAGGTGTATATCAGTATGTAGTGTCTCTACTTTAAAGAGTCCTCTCCTGCTGATGTTCAGGTGTATATCAGTATGTAGTGTCTCTACTTTAAAGAGTCCTCTCCTGCTGATGTTCAGGTGTATATCAGTATGTAGTGTCTCTACTTTAAAGAGTCCTCTCCTGCTGATGTTCAGGTGTATATCAGTATGTAGTGTCTCTACTTTAAAGAGTCCTCTCCTGCTGATGTTCAGGTGTATATCAGTATGTAGTGTCTCTACCTTAAAGAGTCCTCTCCTGCTGATGTTCAGGTGTATATCAGTATGTAGTGTCTCTACTTTAAAGAGTCCTCTCCTGCTGATGTTCAGAGTTCATATCAGTATTTAGTGTCTCTACTTAAAGAGTCCTCTCCTGCTGATGTTCACCACTCATTACAATATTTAAGACATATAATCATATACTCTTTAATATAATATCATAATTATATAATAGTTTAGATCTTTTGTTTAAACTGGAATACCTTTGCCTGTCATGTTTCATTACGCTCGTACTGTAATCCACATGTAGCTCTTCTCGCTGTGGATGCTAACATGCTAACGTGCTAACGGTTTCTCTCTGTCTGGGATCAGACTTCTTCCCCTCAGAGCAAAATGGAAGGAGCGCTGCAGAAGTTCGGAGACTTTCTGCAGAGCTCTCCAACACTGCTGGGATCCAAAGGTCAGTGAGGTTACTTATATAAGAAGGTGTCAACATAACTATAATTTCACGGGAAGACGAGGGCTATAGGAACTCATACAACAGGTTTAAATATCCTATTCTGGGAATTGAAAAGAAAAGTGGCAAAAGACGTATAATTTCACGGGGAGACTAGGGGTAGAGGAACCTGCAGGTCCGCTGCAACTCTTTTAAATCCAGGCTGAAGACTTTCTTTTTGCCGCTGCTTTTAATTGAGCTATTCACATCTCACACTGCACTATAACTTTTATTCATGTACCTGTGTTATTCATGTTTCATTATCTTTGCTTTTTAATGTTCTAATGCTCTAAAAAACTAAACTAGTGGAAGGGAAAAGCTCCCAGGGGAATCTGATCCACCTTCAGGTGCTGGGACAGCTCTCCTCTCTCTGTGAGCCGGTCTGTGAACGCCGCTCCGCAGTTTAATGCAGGGCCGTAGCTACGATTTGAACGGGCCTAAGATGATATTTAAAATGATTCACTTGTAATGAATGAACTGCTTGTTTCGTTGATGGAGAAGCTTGTGGACAAAGTGTAGGTTTGATTCTACTAGTACAGTTCTAGCAGTGGCAAACCGTGTCCATCACAACTGGACCTTCTGTAGACACCCCCCCCCCCCCCCCCCCCCCCCCCCCGGCGTTATAATGTCCGTCTTTTCACTGAATGGTCGTCTTGTAAAGGGTACTCACAACAATTCCCCAACAACTTCATCTTCACCTGTTGCACTTGCCATTTCAACGTTAAAAACAATAACACGGCATGAATTGCTTCGTGGCATTCATCTAGATCCTCCGTCCGAGCCAGTGAACTACGGGGCCTTCTAGAGCACCTGGAACCGAGGGGAACTCTGAAAGAACACGCCCAGTGGCTACAAATCAATATATGATTGGTTGATCAAACTGTCAGTCCAAACGTACGCTCTCATTCAGTGCAACGTCCAGGGCATTCTATCAAGGATATAGAATACCTGGTTGAAGGATATTCTACCCAGAGACCCAGAAACAGATCTGATTGGTTGCTTTCTTTTCTAACACAAAACCACTGAAATGTGTAGTGCATGGTCCGAGAAGGAGAAACAAATCAACGTAACACTGATATTACAGATCAACAACACAGATACCATTCTCATTTATTCATTTTATATACATTTTATTTATATAATGAAATCGATGTTTTGTTAGTTTTATCTGAGTGTTCCAGGGTCTTCTCTGAATGCCTTGAAGGCCCTGACGGTTCGCCACTGAGTTTTAGGGACACAAAAGTTAGGGGGGCAGCTGGGGGGGCAAGGCTCTACAGTGTCTTTCATTGTTGTAAAGCACTTTGAATTGCCTTGTGTTGAAAAGTGCTATATAAATAAACTTGCCTTAGAAGTTAAAAATACCCTAAAATCTAGGCAAATAATACATTGATTTTGTAGTTGAGTTCAAAAAGGGGATTAATCCTCCGCAGGGGCAGATCTACGGGCCCCCCACTGTAGAGCCTTTCCCCAGCTGCCCCCCCTAACTTTTGTGTCCCTAAAACTGTACTTGTAGAAACAAACCTACACTATGTCCACAAGCTTCTCAAGCAACGAAACAAGCAGTTCATGAATTAAAAGTGAATCATTTTAAATATCATCTCAGACCCTTTAAAAACGTAGCTACGGCCCTGCTTTAAACTGCGGAGCGGCGTTCAGAGACACACTCATTACAGCAGCACAATCTAGCGGCTCTTAGTATTGACACATATGTATTGAAATGTGTTGCAGCACAGGTCACCTTTAGCTCTCTGAAGAGATGGGTGATGTCCTCTGTGTACTTCATTATAACTAGGAACTTTTACTGTACTCACAGTAAGCAGAGTTCTCGGGTATCGTGAGTATTTTCTGCTGTTTTATATATATTTTAGTTTGTTTGTCTGAACACCTTGTTTCTCTTGTGCATTAAGAACACTTGTGTTAAGGCATGATTTAACAATGAATAGGTTATATATATATATATATATACACAGTACAAAATACCACGTACTGTCCGCCCTCCCATGCCACCCCATGTAAAATGTTCTAGAACCGCCACTGATCCTCCGTGCATATTACATTGTTTAGTCCTGTTGGCAATACTTTGAGAAAATCTACATTAACCAGCTGTTACAAGAAATGACCGGGTCTTTTTTTAAAGGTTTTTAAACAATATATCAGTGAACTGTTCTTCAATGAAAGACAAAGTGACGGCCCGAATTGTTGTCTATTCACGTCTTTGCATTGACTTGAAATGTAATCGCGCCATTCGAAAAATGTTGTGTGAACGCACCATAATATCTCTAATATGCAAAATCCCTACCTTTTTAATTATAAATACTACAATTCACACTCTTTCTTTAGACATATGTACAATTTGTAAACAGTACCAGCTACTTCAGTACTTATATGGTCACGCTACTTCTTGCCTTTTCATATAATATGCAAGACTACTCTATATTCTGTATGTGCTTTTGCTGCTGTGACGCCGTAAACTTCCTCGCTGCCAAACATATAAAGGATTTATATCCCACACACACACACACACACACACACACACACACACACACACACACACACACACACACACACACACACACACACACACACACACACACACACTCTTGCATAAAATCTCCAAAGCTTTTCCTCATATTTACATTAAATCCTCCCCGATGCATTTGCATTCACCTTCAGCCGTACTGATAACATCCCGGAGGCAATGGCAGAGCCCAGATGGGTTTTTAGGATTTTATAAAGTTCAAATCACTTTTTTGCAGAAACACAACTCGAGACACACAAGGTCAAACCTCAGAGTTCCTGCCCGAGTCTTTTAGCAAACAGAGCAGCGAAGTTTGGGAGTCTAATGATGGCTTAGAGGAGAACGTTGGAGAGTCATTTCTGAGTTTTTGTATCCGAGGAGAGGCTCTTTCTCTCGGTCGGTTAATTGTCCCCCCGGGGTTTTTCATACAAGAGTGAAGCCTTTTTCTGCCATCTCATCATCCTCTCTCTCTTTCTGCTGCTCGCTTTCCCTACTCTACTATGTTTGTCATTGGACTTCTTCCAACACCTTTTCTTTCTTAATCTTTTACTTTTCCCTCCATCACTCATTCCCTTTTTCACTGACCTGTCTCTCTTTCTTACCCCTTTGTCCAGGTGTATATCAGTATGTAGTGTCTCTACTTTAAAGAGTCCTCTCGTGCTGATGTTCAGGTGTATATCAGTATGTAGTGTCTCTACTTTAAAGAGTCCTCTCTTGCTGATGTTCAGGTGTATATCAGTATGTAGTGTCTCTACTTTAAAGAGTCCTCTCGTGCTGATGTTCAGGTGTATATCAGTATGTAGTGTCTCTACTTTAAAGAGTCCTCTCTTGCTGATGTTCAGGTGTATATCAGTATGTAGTGTCTCTACTTTAAAGAGTCCTCTCTTGCTGATGTTCAGGTGTATATCAGTATGTAGTGTCTCTACTTTAAAGAGTCCTCTCCTGCTGATGTTCAGGTGTATATCAGTATGTAGTGTCTCTACTTTAAAGAGTCCTCTCCTGATGATGTTCAGGTGTATATCAGTATGTAGTGTCTCTACTTTAAAGAGTCCTCTCCTGCTGATGTTCAGGTGTATATCAGTATGTAGTGTCTCTACTTTAAAGAGTCCTCTCCTGCTGATGTTCAGGTGTATATCAGTATGTAGTGTCTCTACTTTAAAGAGTCCTCTCCTGCTGATGTTCAGGTGTATATCAGTATGTAGTGTCTCTACTTTAAAGAGTCCTCTCCTGCTGATGTTCAGGTGTATATCAGTATGTAGTGTCTCTACTTTAAGAGTCCTCTCCTGCTGATGTTCAGGTGTATATCAGTATGTAGTGTCTCTACTTTAAAGAGTCCTCTCCTGCTGATGTTCAGGTGTATATCAGTATTTAGTGTCTCTACTTTAAAGAGTCCTCTCCTGCTGATGTTCAGGTGTATATCAGTATTTAGTGTCTCTACTTTAAAGAGTCCTCTCCTGCTGATGTTCAGGTGTATATCAGTATTTAGTGTCTCTACTTTAAAGAGTCCTCTCCTGCTGATGTTCAGGTGTATATCAGTATTTAGTGTCTCTACTTTAAAGAGTCCTCTCCTGCTGATGTTCAGGTGTATATCAGTATTTAGTGTCTCTACTTTAAAGAGTCCTCTCCTGCTGATGTTCAGGTGTATATCAGTATGTAGTGTCTCTACTTTAAAGAGTCCTCTCTTGCTGATGTTCAGGTGTATATCAGTATGTAGTGTCTCTACTTTAAAGAGTCCTCTCTTGCTGATGTTCAGGTGTATATCAGTATGTAGTGTCTCTACTTTAAAGAGTCCTCTCCTGCTGATGTTCAGGTGTATATCAGTATGTAGTGTCTCTACTTTAAAGAGTCCTCTCCTGCTGATGTTCAGGTGTATATCAGTATTTAGTGTCTCTACTTTAAAGAGTCCTCTCCTGCTGATGTTCAGGTGTATATCAGTATGTAGTGTCTCTACTTTAAAGAGTCCTCTCCTGCTGATGTTCAGGTGTATATCAGTATGTAGTGTCTCTACTTTAAAGAGTCCTCTCCTGCTGATGTTCAGGTGTATATCAGTATGTAGTGTCTCTACTTTAAAGAGTCCTCTCCTGCTGATGTTCAGGTGTATATCAGTATGTAGTGTCTCTACTTTAAAGAGTCCTCTCCTGCTGATGTTCAGGTGTATATCAGTATGTAGTGTCTCTACTTTAAAGAGTCCTCTCCTGCTGCTGTTCAGGTGTATATCAGTATGTAGTGTCTCTACTTTAAAGAGTCCTCTCCTGCTGATGTTCAGGTGTATATCAGTATGTAGTGTCTCTACTTTAAAGAGTCCTCTCCTGCTGATGTTCAGGTGTATATCAGTATGTAGTGTCTCTACTTTAAAGAGTCCTCTGTCTGTTTCTCTGCAGCTAAGAAGATGATGAGTCTGGTGAGCGGTCGTAGTGATTTTGAATCAGCTTCCTCCTCGTCTTCATCGCTCAGCCTGAGACTCAAGAAGAGCAAAAAGAAACTGTACAGACCTGAGATCTCCTCCCCGATGGACATGCCCTCATATCCAGTAAGAGTCATTATTCTTCAGCTCATCATGACACACACATTCTGAGATTAAAGTCTGAATTCTGTTTAATTTCAATGTCATATTTTTATTCTGAAAATCTCAGAATTCTGAGACTAAAGTCAAAATGCAGTTTGTTTTTTTCTGGGTTTTATTCTGAAATATAAACATTTCTGAGATTTATTTTTATTCAATTTCTGTTTTTATCTTATTTCATCTCTGAATACTGAAAATGAATTCAGAAAAAATAAACTCAACAATTAAATCAGTTTTATTTTTTTATGAATTCTGACTTAAATCTCAGAAAGAAAGAAAAAAATCCAGAATTTAATTTTTCTAATGAAAATCCCACAATTCGGAAACAATTCATATTTATTTTTAATTAAATATATATTTTATTCTTTCGGAAAATACCAGTAAAATTTAAATATAGGGTGGACTGTCCCGTGTAGCAACATTTTATGCTACTGTGTGCCGGTTATATTTAATGCTGTGTCTCTACCAGCTGCAAAGTCTCATTGCCTTTCTCCTGCACCTGCAATCCAACGCCACTTCTTACTCAGCGTCTTGATGAGATTCACTGACAGTCAATAGAGAATCAACAGGGGCTGCACGGTTCATTTTGTGCGCTTAAAATCTTCCAAAAAGATTCCCAACGTCGCAATAGAGTGGTGCCGTGACAAGTCCTAAAACCGAGTTAGCATTTCACCACTTCCTGTTCCCTCGTCTCAGAGCCAATGGGATCTCTCCATAGGATTTTACAAAATATCTGGAAATAAGGTCTGTGGTTGAGACACATTGAAGAGACGGATCACGTTTTGTTCTAGGACATTAAATCCATCAGCAGTGACCCCACTGGTGATTTCTGAAGAGTTGACGTGTCTGAAAAACGATGGTTGTTACCAAGTGGCTGAATAGGACTACAGAAGTTGTCGAGGACGTTGTACGTCATTACGCCGAACACGTAAACACTCCTCTAAGTTTGTTTGCCCTGTTCTGCTTGAAAGCAAGTACCTGCCTCCTGCTAACTGTTCAAACTAACGCTTCAACTCGTTCCATTTAGAATCTGTATGTTTGAATATGGATCTGAAGTTGGCGTGACGTTGAAGTCGTGCTGCTGAACTCGGCTGTAGCTCCTTTATAGCATAACGTTAGCTTCTGGCGATTAGAGTTATGATTCGAAAATGATAAAAGTAGGGTAGACATGTGGAGATTATCCGGCTGAACAAAACGTGCATTTATCAAACAGGTTCGTTTCCCACAGACCTTATTTCGAGCTATTTTACAAAATCCTATGGAGAAATCCCAATGCTCGAGGGAACCAGCAGCAGGGTAAATACGTCATCCCTGCACCGCTCTATTGTTCCATTTGAATAGCTTGATTACTCGCCGTGAGAAGCCCATCAGTCGTGTGTGTGTCTCTGTGTTCATAGACCTACAGTTTGATCACAAAACACACTTTTAACAATCCTTTCCTCTTCACAGATAATCAGCAGAACGCCGGAGGAGAAAGAGAGCGACCATCAGATCATTAAGAGACGTCTTCGCACGCGGACGCCTAAACTTTGAGCCTCCTTATGTACTCACACTCTGACCAGATGAAGGAAGCATTAGGCTATTATCTTATATCTTATTTAATCTAAAAACGCATATTTGAATAGTTAAATAGGGAGGTTTTAGAAGAGGTAAAATCACTAAGCTGGTTATAAGGTTAAAGGAACAGTTCAACATTTTGCGTCAGTGGAGTACAGCGCTTCGCGATTGTCAACTGCATTGCAGATTGTTGCCGCGCATGCGTACCAGTTATGTGCACCCCTGCATATAGGACGTTTAGGGCCACATGTGAACATTTCTTTTTTTGACATCTGACCAAAAGTGAATTCAGAATTAAGACATCTAAGACTTTTTTTCTCTGGATTTAAATCAGATTCTCATAATTAGAAAAAATTATTAAAAATCTGAGAATCTTTTTTTTTCATCGGAATTTTGACGGAAAAAACCGAACTTTTACCGAAATCAGATTTCTTTTTTCTGAGATTACTATTTTTTTCTATGTTTGTTTTGAAACCCAAGACTCTTGATTTAAGGCGGAATTCTGGGAAAAATCTAAAATAATTCTGTCTGGGATTAAAGTTTGAATCTAAAAAATTCAGAGTGACTTTTTTCTCAGACAAAACAACACTTTTGGTCAGATATCGAAAAAATCCACATCTGGCTCTTCCGTATAAGTTAGATATTCCAGACGCTGTATTATATTTTCTATTTATCTGTACATCAACACTACTAACAGAACTCTCACTGCACTTTATTCTTTATTTCAAACTAACTTAACCCTTTGTTTTTACTGAAACTAATTTCTTCAGCTTTAGAGTGTTCTCGTTTCTCGCTGAAGGACAGCCGAGAGTTTCTCTGTTGTAAAACCTTCCTGAGTTTCATCACAACATTCCTTCTGAAATTGTGCACTTTTCTCTTGATTATTACTTTTTTCTATTATCATGTTTTCCTCCTTTTTGAAAAGTTGTTCTCAAAGTCTTATCAGTCATTAAAATACGAGACTGCTTCTAATATATCTGCGTTTGTTTCTTTATTGCCACAAGTCATAAACTACATTACATTACATGTTACTTGTTGGGGTGACGTGTCTCAGGGACACAACGACATGCTGACCGCAGTGGGGTTTGAACCTGATCTGAACACCAACGCACTAGTCTACTGCGCCACAGCCTCCCTCTCACTAAAAACATGATGAAATACAACAAATAAACATATTTAAAATAAAATAAATTACAAATAATTAGCTAAATTAATAACATAATTCATAAATATTGTTTTAATATATAGAATAACATACAAAAATGTTTAACATTACAAAAATAATTAAATATATATAAATAAAATGAACTTAAATTAAATAAATAAATAAAAAATATGTACACATACATTTAAGCAATAGCTCACGACAGGCCGTGGTATATGGCCATTATATCACAGTTAAGGGGCGTGGTTCGGCCCGACGCGAAGTAGCACAATTCATTATGTCAAACCTTGGAAAGTATCTAAATATCCCTGCCCTAACGCCAAAGGAACTGCACACTGAATATGTTTTTGCCGTTTGATGTCTATGTCTGGACCGCTGCGTAAAAAGGAGGGTTTCTGCCCCGTTACTTCTCCGCTGCTTTCTTGTTCCAGTTTGAAAAGCAAACAGCCCAACTGTATACTGTTTTTCTCAGACGCGGAGGGATACTGACTTGTTGTGAAAAGTAACTTACAATTCTACCCGTGGTATACGCTCAGTATATCACGGCTAAGAACCAATCAGATTGCTTGATTTGACTTGTCCGTTTTATAAAATAAGTTAGATTACACTGTAATAGACCAAATCTACTGCTAATAACAAATATACTGCACAGGGGTTTTTAGTCAAATACAGTATGAGGTGATACTGTGGCGCTGATTTTGTTAAGATATATCAACATGACGTCTCCGCGGACGTAAACAACAACGTGACATCGGAGCTCTGTAAAAACAAAGCTGTCTCTGCCGTCTGACGCTCTGTTTGATACTCAGATTTCTGGAGTCATTATACCGTTTTTGACGAACATGAAATATTGTGTTCTGGCAGCACTTTAACATTTTACGGGGAAAATCTGCATTTTGGTTTGAGGGCGGAGCGCTCCAGTTACACTCTGTTTAGTATGTTCCGTTTATCTTCAACGTTTATTAAATAATTCAAATCAAAAGTAAGACACAAATTACAATGTTTTAGGGAATACGTTCAGATGTTTTCCCCGTCATTGTGAGTAGATTTAGAACAAAATAAAAACACATTTTTCAAATTTTAGGCTGCTTTTTGGAATTTATCTCAAAATGTTTGAAAAGAATGGATGAGGAATCAAGTTCTGTGCGACTCATTGAGTTCACAGCATCTGAAAGACTGTCTCACTGATTAAAAGATAAAATCACAAGATCTTAATGAAGCAAGTTCAACCAGGAAGACCGTCTTTATTCTGTCACTCACATATTTTCATCTCACTACTCGTCTGTAGTTAGAAAACTGCAAAATCGTCTGGAGCTCAATGACCTCCATGGCAGTGATCTTTAAATCTGCCTCACAGCTAATGATCAGTATTAGTCAGAGCTGTGACTCCACTTTCCAAGAACACCATTTCAGTTCTATTACATCTAATGATATGTTCAGTCTGCTCACCATGGCTGTTCTCTCACTGACGAGTTAACTCTAGAGAAGCTTCGGAGGACTCAGAGAGACAAACAAGGCTGTGTGTGTGTGAGTCTCTGTGTGTGTGTGTGAACTGAACCCCCTCTGAGTGGGGACCCTGAACGCCTCACCAAAGCTCAGAGGTGAGATTTGTTTTAATGTTATTCCAACAGGACTAAAATATGTATTATGTTACCATAAATGGGGCGAAGCCTGCGAGCTAGTTCAGGCAGTCAACTGGAGCACCAATGATACATGAACACGTGACGCGTCTCTCTCACATCCAACCAAACACAATCTCCTAAACTTGCCGCTCTATTGAAGCTGCCAGGTCTGCTGCCTCTGCCTCGCTCATGCTGCTGCTCTGTCACATTGCTGATGCGTTCACGTGCTGCTGCTCGCCTGCCCCCCCACCACCCCAGCTTCCACCTGTAGGCTCAGGGGGTAGTGATCTAATCATCACTCAATGCTCTATGTTCATCTGTGGAGTGATGAGGCCCGAGCCTAGACGCCAAACTCAATCTATATGCTGCTTCTAATAAACATATAAGAAACACGTGAGTTGTCTGACTGAACTGAGCAGAATTAAACAACTTTAATGGATGAATAAGCGACACTATGTCTGCTGAATTAAAGGGCTTTATGCAGATGTGAAACCACGTTTAAATGTAAGTGATTGCACCTTTTGATGATGTGTCCTTTGAACAAAGTAGAGAGGAAGTGGGTGGAAACCATAAGCGCTGATGATGGAGAGAGAAATATTCAATTCAAGCTTCAACTAAAGCACAACAATAAGTGACTAATTATTGAGCGATGATTTCCATTGTGAGGTTTTCTATTAAAAAAAACTTTTATAGACTCAGCATGTGACTCATGTTTTAACGTCCTTCACTTTTTCCTGGACTCTTTTTACCAGCCTTTAAAACATATAAATGACTGCCATATTTATGTGCTATTAAAACCCTCAAATGTAGTGAAGTTTAACAGGCTTTTTTAGGGTCTTTGCAATGTCAACAGTGTTCTAGAGAAGGCAGTCAAACCAAGGACGCATTTTAGGGTACATTTGATTTATTTAAAAGACAGGTCTGTAACAAAGCATTTTTTTTTTAACATACTCCAAAGGCAAAAAAAAAGGACATCAGACGAGGGTACTGTACAAACACATAAAAGAACATATTTAAACATTTAAATGAGACATTATTTATAGATATTACACGGCTTAGTTGAAAACTCCCTTCTGATTGGTCGATTTAGGTCTGCTATTTTACGATATCAGACCGTTGCTAAGGAGAACAGACTGTTGCTAAGGAGGATCCAGTTACGTTGCTGTCGCCGCAGTTCGGACTATTTTTCACTGAAGTACCACCTGAAAAACATCATACTGTCCAATGAACACACACACACATGCATGCATGCACACACACACACACACATTACTCACAGTGGTCTATCATTCTACACACTCACGTGAACACCCACAGGCATTTCATCAATATCCATTTTAGTGTGGTAGTCAAAGATATGACAGGCGGAATAATAGCCATACACACACACACACACACTCACACTCTCTGCCAGCCCATTCAGAGCAGCCAAATCCAGTGTGTGTGTTGGTATAGAGGCGACCATCTGGACCTTCATTCAGCTCTCATTTTACCATCAGGAGAGAATAAAGGATGCAGAGCTGTAGAGGGTTTAAACTCGAATGGAAAATAAACAAGTTAAACTTCCTGATAAATATAGGGTGGCAGGAGACCAGGGGACACTAAAGAGTGATGCACACAGCTGGGAGACCAGGGGACACTAAAGAGTGATGCACACAGCTGGGAGACCAGGGGACACTAAAGAGTGATGCACACAGCTGGGAGACCAGGGGACACTAAAGAGTGATGCACACAGCTGGGAGACCAGGGGACACTAAAGAGTGATGCACACAGCTGGGAGACCAGGGGACAGTCAAATACAACAATAGCCGACGTTTCAACTGTACAGACTTCCTTTATTCATTGATCCTGTACAGACTGAACTATCTGGGCAGCAGGGAGGACGTTTCTGGAACAGGAGGAGACTGTTCCTCCTACAGAGGACACAGAGACACTGATCCAGACCAAACTGTAAACCCAGCATAAAGAGGTTCAGTGAATGTGGTTCTGAAGGTGTGGAGGTGGATCAGTGTGTCAGAGGAGACTCTGTAGAAGGAGAGAGAGCCAGCAGGATGATCCACATACACTGCTACTCTACCAGAGGGGAAGGAGGAGGAGGAGGAAGAGGTGTATGTTCTCTTATTGTGATAGACAGAGTAACCACCATGAGAGCATCTCAGTCTCCAGGACTGATCATTCCATCCAAACAAACAGTCCTCACTGTCTCCTCTCCTGCTGATTCCTCTGTAAGTCACTGATATATAAGCCCATCCTCTCCACTCGACCTCCCAGTAACAGCGACCAGTCAGAGCTTCTCTGCACATCAGCTGAGGCCAGTGGTCAAACCTCTCTGGATGATCAGGATATGGCTGCTCCTCTCTCACATATGTCAGCGTCCTGTTGTTGTCAGACAGTTTGAGGTTTCTGTTTGCTGTGTTTGTGTCGAGTGAGAGTTCACAGGAATCTGATGAGAGGAACAGCAGCAGTTATTAATCAGCTGTTCATTTATTGACACTTTGATGATGAAGGTTACATTTGAAGATGGTGGCTGCTTTGTTTTCATGAATCAAATTAAACCACACTCACACTTCCTCAGACCGGGTCTCAACCATCGGACTCCACCAGGCTCCATCCTGAAAGAAGGGGGGGGGGTCAGAGCAGCATGGAAACATGGACATTACATCACTCTCAAAAACAGAGCTTTGTGATTCTCACATGGACCACTTATTATTAACCCTTAAGAGTTCCTTAAAAAGAAAACGTATTTGTTCCTAAGGTCAAAAAATGCCACCTTCACAAAAACTGCTATAAAAATATGATATATTCAAATTTCTTTCCACTTTAAAAGAGTAAATCTTTAAAAACTACTCCAGCCTGACATATACATATGAAATATGAATTATATGTTGGTGATTTTAACCCTTTAAAGACCAGTTTGTTGAAAAAACTCCACAGTTTTTTTTATTGAAAAAAACTAAATTATTATTACTATTATTATTATTATTATTAGGACCCTAGATGGGTCAATGGTTGACAGCAACAATGATTTTGATGCATCATTATTTTTTCTGATTAAAGTTTAAAATCTTAGCCTATAATGATATATGATGATTTTCACTAGGCCGTCTCCTACCACTAGTAAAAGGTGTTTTCCCACTAAATGCCTTTTACCCTCTTGTGGGCTAAAATGAATAATACAAGATCAGTTTGAACCAGAAACACATTTATTTAACAAAGATGAACATTGAATGATGAGTGTCTGGCTGTGAGAGTCCAGCTCAGGTCGAGCAGGGGCTGCAAGTGGACAGACGGTGGACCTTGCATGTGAAGTTCCCACATGTGCAGCAGGTGCTGCCAACTCTTCTTATTCTGGCCTTGCAAAAGTGGCACTGCCTCCTGCTCTTCCGTTCACTGATGAGAGAGGGGCCTGCAGCAGCACCCTGCAGATCTGAGTCTATTCCTGCAGTGGCTGATGAGCCAAAATGAGCAGCTCCACGTACGCCTGCCGTTCCTTTGTGTCCACATCTCGCCAGTCTCCCATGCATGTTTTTCATGGCCTCAATATGCTTCAGGATTTCATCCGTCAGCAGCAGTGCAAAGCTGGACCTCGGGTCACTGATTCGGGCGTCAGCATAGTGTGTAGGTCCCAGGATCAAACCTGTGGAACGTAGTGGTGTGTCTCAGTGTTTGTGGGAGACCAAAACATTTTCACGCCGCTTCATCCATCTCCCCTCCGCTCTCAGCTTCAGATGAGTCTTGGGATGAGTCTGAGTTGGACTCTAGAAACAGGACTCTGGTCTGTTTCTACCTCTGAGGCCTCTTCTGTGTCAGCCTCAGAGTCCACGAGGAGGATGAGGAGCCATCCTCGCACTCAGAGTGCATGATAATCTCCAGAGCCTCCTGTGTGCTGTAATGCCTTGCCATCTCCAACATGACTACTCCTGCACTAATACTAATACTTCTAACCATGGCAGCACCTGCATAAACAACCTGAGCGAGAACCAAAACAAAGTCCAATCCTGTTTTGGTTCTCGCAACTCATTGTTTTTGTTGTTGAATTAGATTATAACGCAGTGTGGCCTTCTAAGATAAATGTTTTTTTGAAGTTGGACACACGCACGCACGCACGCACGCACGCACGCACGCACGCACGCACGCACGCACGCACACACACACACACGCACACACACACACACACACACACACACACACACACACACACACACACACACACACTCACACATACCATTATCCAACATCAATAGCAACACACACTTATCATTTCAGTAGCAAGGCACCCTTGCAGAAAACAGTCAAAAGTGCTGCATGCTTCAAAGGGTTAAAATGATGGCCATCTTGTAGTCAAATGTAAACATTTTAAAGTGAAAGCTGTAGTCCGAAAATGAAATCTTAACATAAAGGAATTCATTCGTTTATGATAGGATAAATGTGGGGTCAAAAAAAGCCTTTTCAATGGTTTTAAATGGGGAATCTTTTCCACTATAGGAACAAATGTGTCGGTTTTTGTGTAGTTTAGCCATTTCAGGCTAATTTAAGGAACTGAGACAACAATTCAAAATACAACAAAAAAATAATATCCTCTGGCAAGTTTGAGCTATATTCATTCAACACAGCGAAAATGGCTAAGAAATAAAAACCTGAATGGCTGAAAAATGTACCTTGGAACTCTTAAGGGTTAATCAGCGCTAATATACCTTTAGATCAGTGGAGCTTCTTCTTTTAGACAATTAATACAGCTCATTATTTTCCCTAATTTATCTGAAAATAAAATAATTATCCTGCCTGTGTCTGATTGTGATAATATGAACAGAATGGCTTTAGTATCCTGTGATTTGTGTGTTAGTGTACATTTTATTTTACTTATTATATATAATATAATCTTTATACCTGACAATGTCAAGTCTCCAGAGTTGATCCTCCAGTCCAGCAGACAGCAGTTTCTCTCCTGAGTCTCCTGGATGATTGTAGCTCAGGTCCAGCTCTCTCATGCGGCTTTCACACCGGCGCTTTTCACTTTCTAGCTCCTCGCGAGAGCTTTTCTGGTTCAGCTCCCGTTTCCCTTTTCAGCTCCCGCTCTGTTCACACCGCTCACACCCCTCAAGAGCCGGGATGGTACTGCGTCATTGCCTCATCGTTTGCGTCATGACGTAAACGTTTACGTGCCTGCTTCCTAAAACCCAAACCGCGCGGAAATCACAACAACAATGGCCGATTGTATTGAAGCGCTGTTCGCTGTGGTTATCCTCTTACGAGACGAAATGGAAGGCATCGGACGACTTTTCAAGGGACGACTTTACTTGGAACTTTACAAACATCACATGCGAAATACAATACTTCTTTGTGGTCTTCAGGGTCTACTTCAACAACGATTCCGTAGGAAACGGGAGGTAAATATACGTCCTATTCGATGGCAAGAAGACAAGAAGAAGAAGGAGCTGACGTTAGATCTGCATTGATGGAGTATTTCAACATGGGGGACCACTAATATTACTGCAGTTAAACCTGATCTATTTTGTATCATGCCTCTTACAATAAAATCACTGGATCAGACTTGAATTGTGTTTTCTTTTGTATACAAATCACAGAATGTAAACAGATAAACAGGTATGAAAAATATTCTTATAAAAATAGTGCATACCCAAAAGGTTTAGACCAGAGGTCTCCAACCTTTCTTCACCTGAGAGCTACATTTATTGACATAGTAGTCATAGGTTGAATTAAGCTACTTTTGTAAACATGTGAAATTGCAATCCCCAAAGCTTATCAAAAATCAATACTTCTCATTAAGGTCAAAGACAACGACAATTTCTCACATTATTATGGCCCACATACAGTAAGTACATCACTGAAAATTCACATAAATGTCCAAGAGAAAAATAAAATGTTATAAGACTTGACTTATGTTTATTTTACATACAAATCAAAGAATGTATGAACAATATTCTTATAAAAATAGTGCATACCCAAAAGGTTTAGACCAGGGGTCTCCAACCTTTCTTCACCTGAGAGCTACATTTATTAAGCTACTTTTGTAAACGTGTGAAATTGCAATACCCAAAGCGTATCAAAATAAAAATAAAATGTTTGTGAGTGTGTGCAGTCACCTGAGCTGCTGTGCAGATACAGCTGTGCTCAACATTCATCAGGGATTGGTCGCTCTCTCTTTGGATGTGTTATGAACAATTTAGTGCTAACCTCAGCTTTATGTCATTACATTTGTGCTGGGTAAGGGCACAGTACATTTGAGTTTGTTTCCTTCACTTAGATTTATGTCAGTATTTTATATCCTAACTTCTTTCTAAAGAGAAATAGGAATAAAATAAATGGTGTGCCTTGCTCCAGCTTGACAATGACACATTTATTTTAGATAACACAGGTAACGATTCCATTTAGCATCATTTTGTTTAAAGAATGCATGGCAGAATCAGACTTAGCATACAAGTAGTCATACTTGTCATCTACCACTGTTTTAGTTCAGTGTTTTATCATAGTGACATTAGCTAGTTTGCAGTGGATCACTGAAAAAATAAAATGTAATAAGACATGACTTTTGAGTTATGTTTATTTTACATACAAATCAAAGAATCAGAAGTATGGACAATATTTGTACTGTATATTATATAATAGAGTATTTAAAAAATAATGTATACAAAGTATTCACAAAAAAGTGTGGAGAACATACGGTATATACTATAACTAAGTGTATTTAAAAAAGAATGTATACAAGTATTCACAAAAAAGTGTGGAGAACATACTGTATATACTATAACTAAGTGTATTTAAAAAAGAATGTATACAAGTATTCACAAAAAAGTGTGGAGAACATACTGTATATATTATATAACTAAGTGTATTTAAAAATTATGTACACAAAAGGGGCATGAACAATGGAGATACAAAAATAATGTCATTGTTTGCTGTTGGCCTCCATCACCTTCACCATCCTGTCTAACAAGCCAAGCATGTGGCCGTCATGCTCGGCCTTTGCGATTCTGGCGAGTCCGTCGATCCGGCTCTGCTCGATTCTGCTCTGCTCTGTGACGTTGAAGATCCGTAGGAACTCAGCATTGCCGTTCTGCACCTCCTGAAGCATCGCCCGGCTATGCTCCAGTAGCTCTTCGTCCCTGGCTTCACTCCTCTCCATTAACGGGACAAGGCCAGATGACGAATCCCGCTTCCTTTTAACTACAAAGGGAAAAATAATAATGAGGTCAACACCGTGTTCATGGCATTCTATGAGGTGTAAATTATATACTGTGTAATGAAATGTTTTATTGTTATTATGGCTGCAGTTGCATAACTTCAACAACTACTACAATGACAATGCCATGATAAATGGCAACAGGGAACAGTATTACCATTATGAACACTGTAAACCTTACCCTGTTTGTTACGGCCCACTGGCTGGGTTAGGGTCACCAGAGATTCCTGGGAAGAGCTGCTTGTTGTGGCAAGAGACCCAAGCATGTGCACGGGCGAGCTACACGCCGAAGGTGGTGGTGGTTCCGACTCACTGCACTCCAAACGAGATATGCCTGTAAACACAATATAAACACAATGAACAAAAGTAGCCCTTCAACAAATCATACATCGTTAGTGAGAAGAAAGAAGATACATTGGAGGCGTTCGCTGTCTTTGCCATGGGGATACCTTTGTTTATTATTGTTAGCATTAGCATGCTAGCGCATGGGTGCCCACCCGGTAGCTGTAGTAGGTAAACTTTAGCTATTATTGCCAGGTCTGTCTATAGCTACATGGTTTAGTTTATGTTGTAAAACAAAAAGGCACAAATAACACAAATCAGTAATGCATAACTCACCAGCATTAAATGACTCGTCCTCCAACCCAATTGACGAGAGACAAAGCGAATTCACGGTGCATCCCACACCACTCGTCGGTCTGTCTCCGAGGACCGAGTTTAGCAAGTCAAAATGTGGACTTGTTTTCGTACGACCGCTGCCACTCCGTCCGAGCTCTTTCTTTTGGTCCCGATAATCCTTTCTGTGTTTTGAGGTCTTCCATCGTTGTGTACAAACTGGATAAAACGCAGGCATTTTGTTGTTGTTCAGGAGGTTGACCCCGCCCATGCCCCTGCCCCCGCCTCCGCCTCGACGGACGTAAGAGAGACGTAAGCGACGCCGCGTCATAGCTCCAAAGCTCTTGCCTCTGGACCGACAACTTTTTGGAGCTGGAAGTGAACCGCATTCCGGAGCTATGACGCGCCGCCGCTGCGGTGTGAACAGGAAAAACCGGCGCTTTTCAGGCTCTAGCTCCCAGCAGGAGCTGGAAAAGCGCCGGTGTGAAAGGGGCATCAGATGGGAGGGGTTGGATCTCAGAGCAGAAGCCAGATAAACACAGCCTTCCTCTGTGACCAGACAGCCTGACAGCCTGAAAACACACAAAACTACATGTCACATAATCTGAGGCCACTGTGAGGACTGCAGGGTTTGTGAAATACTGTATGTACTTAATACCGTTGGCTTATGTGAGGTAACTTTCAGATTTCTCTCTGATATTTCAAGATCCAACAAGAGTGAGAAATTAACTTCATGAAATATGTTCATTGAAAAATGTTGGAACAAAAGGAATTTGATTAGAAGGAAATCATTGAATTGTATTTATTAATCTAAATATGGATTAATATGGCCTTCAATTAAACAGACTGAATCCAGACCTGAGAGTCTCCAGAGTACAGTGTGGACTATCCAGTCCAGCAGACAGCAGCTTCACTCCTGAATCCTGCAGGTCGTTGTTACTCAGGTCCAGCTCTCTCAGACTAGAGGACTGGGAGCTGAGGACTGAGGACAGAGCTTCACAGCTTCTCTCTGACAGTTTACAGCCACTCAGTCTGATAAAGAGAAAACAAGCAATATATGGAAATAATGAACTGAATATTTACGTCATGATATATGAATGTTTCTGTACTTACAGAGCCTTCCTGGAGGCTTTGACCACTGGCAGCAGCCTCAGAAGAGCCTCCTCTGAAGCAGAGTATTTCTTCAGGTCAAACACGTCCAGATCTTCTTCTGATGACAGTAAGATGAAGACCAGAGCTGACCACTGAGCAGGAGACATATTATCTGTGGAGAGACTTCCTGAACTCAGGGAGTGTTGGATCTGCTTCACTAGAGAACAATCATTCAGTTCATTCAGACAGTGGAACAGGTTGATGCTTCTCTCTGGAGACAGATCCTCATCCATCTTCTTCTTGATGTACCAGACTGTTTCCTGATTGATCTCTGAGCTACTTCCTGTTTCTGTCAGTAGACCACGTAAGAGTTTCTGATTGGTCTGCAGTGAAAGACCCAGGAGGAAGCGGAGGAACAAGTCCAGGTGTCCGTTTGGACTCTGTAAGGCCTGGTCCACAGCACTCTGGTAGAGATGTGTTAGTTCAGGTTTGGGTCTGAATACTTTAGGTAGCCAGGAGGTTGTTGGTTCTTCTGACAGCAGGTTGACTCCAGAGTTGATGAAGGTCAGATGGACATGGAGAGCAGCCAGAAACTCCTGAACGCTCAGATGGACGAAGCAGAACACCTTGTCCTTCTGGTACAGTCCTCTCTCCTCTCTAAAGACCTGTGTGAACACTCCTGAGTACACTGAGGCTGCTCTGATATCGATGCCACACTCTGTCAGGTCGGACTCATAGAAGATCAGGTTGCCTTTCTGCAGCTGCTCAAAAGCCAGTTTTCCCAGAGACTCCATCATCTTCCTGCTCTCTGGACTCCAGTGTGGATCTGTCTCAGCTCCTCCACCATACTTTACATTCTTCACTTTGGACTGAACCACCAGGAAGTGGATGTACATCTCAGTCAGGGTCTTGGGCAGCTATCCTCCCTCTCTGGTTTTCAACACCTCCTCCAGAACTGTAGCAGAGATCCAGCAGAAGACTGGGATGTGGCACATGATGTGGAGGCTTCGTGAGGTCTTGATGTGGGAGATGATGGTGCCGGCCTGCTCCTGATCTCTGAATCTCTTCCTGAAGTACTCCTCCTTCTGTGGGTCAGTGAACCCTCGGACCTCTGTCACCATGTCCACACACTCAGGAGGGATCTGATTGGCTGCTGCAGGTCGTGTGGTTATCCAGAGGCGAGCAGAGGTAAGCAGCTTCCCCCTGATGAGGTTTGTCAGCAGCACATCCACTGAGGTGGACTCTGTGACATCAGTCAGGATCTCAGTGTTGTGGAAGTCCAGAGGGAGTCGACACTCATCCAGACCGTCAAAGATGAACACAACCGGGAACTGATCAAACCTGCAGATTCCTGCGTCTCTGGTTTCAGAGAAGAAGTGATGAACAAGTTCCACCAAGCTGTACTTGTTCTCTCTCACCACATTCAGCTCTCTGAAGGTGAATGGAAATGTGAACTGGATGTCCTGGTTGGCTTTGCCTTCAGCCCAGTCCAGAGTGAACTTCTGTGTTAAGACTGTTTTCCCAATGCCAGCCACGCCCTTTGTCATCACTGCTCTGATTGGTGCATCTCTTCCAGGTGAGGCTTTAAAGAGGTCTTCTTGTCTGATTGTTGTTTCTGGTCTATCTGGTTTCCTGGATGCTCTTTCAATCTGTCTGACCTCATGTTCATCATTGACCTCTGCAGCCCCCCCCTCTGTGATGTAGAGCTCTGTGTAGATCTGGTTCAGAAGGGTTGGGTTTCCTGCTTTAGCGATGCCCTCAAACACACACTGGAACCTCTCCTTCAGGTTAGACTTAAGTTTACGCTGACACACTCCAGAACGACTTCCTGAATGAAAGAACAACAAAGCAGATCAATAAGTCAAGACATTTCAACTCCAAAGAAATCTTTAAATGACGAGGATCTGAGTATACTTTGCTCCATCTCTTGAGACATTAGTCAACATTTATCCAGCTTGTTAAATCTTTATAGAAACCCTCTTACTGCTCTGCAGACGCTCAGCCAGCTCCTCCTGCTTCATGCTCCTCAGGAAGTGCAGTGAGATGTTCAGAAATGCCTCTCTGCTGCTCCTCCTCTGCTCTTCATCCTCACTGTCCAACACCTCCTCATTCTCCCTCTGGTTCTCTAAGCATTCTGGGTAATCTGAAGTCAGAGCTTTCTGGATCTTCTTCAGCTCGTTCTTCACAAAAGTGTTGATGTTCTCCTCCAGCAGCTGGAACAGAATACATGAACAACACAATCAAACTAAAGGCACCAAACATCAGATCCATGTTGGACAGACTGACCATCCACTGATCTACAAAGTGCATCATGGAGTTGACTGTGATCAGAACAGATGTAAAGTAGCTGTAGTTCATGTACAGACCATAAATACGGAGTCCATTTCCGTCTGATGCTGCTGGGCAGACTGACCTCTGGGAACCTCTGAGCTCTGCTGGTCCTCTCTGTGAGGAATCATGAAGAAATAACTCACATTATCTCCGTCCATACAGAGGCAAACACAGGGTAAAGGTCCTTAAAGTGTCTTCTAAGCCCAATGGGGTTAATGCAATACCAGTCAGGTTGCAGGAGGCATCATGGCAGGAGACAAACTCTCACACTGGCCTTCATCATGACCTTAAAGGGTCATCATCAGACGATGTGGGAATCAGAAGGAGAAGAGGTTGATCTGGGGTTTTATTGTAATGTGAGAGAGAGTCGATTGTCACCTGATGGGAAGCGCTGACAACTCTGACTTTAACTTCCTCTGTTGATTCATTGATATAAACTTTGCTACAGAATGAATACCCATTCACACCACATGCTTGTCTCTCATATATTTAAGAGTTAGGATATTTAAGGTGTAGGAAGATACCAAACTTTTTAACCAAAAATAAAAAGTTGATCAGTTGAATAGAAATTAAAGATGAAATGAAACAAGATTCCAACCTGTGTTCCTATCACAAATTGCTAACGTATATATATATATATATACACAGTATACATGTCCAGCTATGGACTTTAAATCAAAGGAGGTTGGTATTGAAATGCTTCGTTGGTCTTCAAATGTGGATCAAGTTCTTGTGTGAGCAACAGGAGAAAGGAGTGTTGTATATAAATCCTCAGGTTTGTCTGGGCCTCACACGGGGCACCAATTTGTCAGTTTAAATATGTATCATTACATTTTGTATTTATTCAATAAGTTTAAATCAATCATAGTTTATTTATGAAGCCTAATATCACACAAGGTACATCTGTTGCAGGGGGCTCATACAGACATATATGGGACGGGGAGGGGAAGAGAACTGTGAGTCAACTTTGACCTAAAACCACAGTAGAAGGTATCACGAAGGCGGTTAACTACTTGAAAAGTTTTCTTTAAATAAACTAAATTATTATAAATATTTGTATTATTATAACTTGCTCTGTTTACATTTGAAAACCTCACCTTTCATCAACAGAGTGTTGTTCACCTTTGAAGAAAATAGGTTTGTCCATAGACCAGTCACTCTTCATGGACATACAGCTGGGTCCAGGTTCCTCCAGCTTCCTCCTGAAACATGAGAAGGAAACAGGAAAGGCTTGTAGCCTGAACACACTCAAGGTTCCTACTCAAGGTTACTATTCTACTGATCTACAGGTGACAGTAATACACAACAACAACTATGGCCAAACTGTTACAAATAATCACGCCAAAATGTATTTTTCTGGGGTTATGGAGTTAAGGGAATAGTTATTCAATTAAATCATTCTGGATTTAGGAAAGTCTAAAGCACTTTCACATATATTAAGTTCCCACACATTCATACGCCGTTGGCCATGCCATTGTTCAAATATCTATAATATCTATATATGTTACTTCATTACCAAAGATCCAAATAAAATAAAAAAAGGAAGATGAAACGAAATGGTTGCTCATGCTCTCCCTCACCCTCCTGTTCAATAATTGACAGGAATGCCAATTAATATGATTGGGTAAAACTATTTGAATAAATAATACTTTATGCAATATAGGCATTACTTCTTAGGCCTATACATCGACTACATCTACCAGTGTGCCTATCAACATTCAAACATTAAAGAACATTTTGAAAATACATTAAAAAAACAAGCCGACTGAGGAAACACCGTGAAATGTTGGCTCTGTGAAGATATACAATACATTGTACAATGCTC